GCTCACTCACTTTTATTGTCCTGTTACAAAAAGCTGGGCAGCTCCTCATCATCGTCGTCTAGGTCCTCTTCCTCCTCCATGAAGAGAGAGTTGTTAAGAGGATGAGGCTTCTCTTGCAGATTCGGCTCAATGGAGAGGTCAGAGGACATGTTTTGATCTGATGGGTACATAACATTATAGTGACTGATTTCAAAAGACAACAACATCATATATTTGAGGCTCCATTTACAATTATTAACATTAACTTACCTTATTTATGCATAGTTATGATAAAGACACAATAACTTTTTGTCATGACGTTGAATTTGTAACATTGCATATAAATTTGTTTTTTTTTTGTAATTGAATGTTTAATTGTTTTATTAGATTAATACAATTTATGTAACTGAATAATCATTAATTTTTTGGATATTTAAATAAATATTTCACTCAATTACTACTAATAGACTGAAATAGTTTTGGTGTCCGCATCAAATTAAATTCATAACTGATTTTACATACATACAAAGCTTATTAAATGTAAGTAAAATGTCTACTTTAATGCTTCAATAAACTTGTGGGAAAACAAAATATGTGTGAAATTATTCAGCATAACAGATATATTTATGTAAAAATGACAACATACTTATTCTGACCTGTACTTATTATAACATATAAAAGAAAAAGTGATACAAAATTTACATTTTTTATTTTTTTTTACTTGTTATTATTTATTACAGGGTGTCTTCTGTAAATCATGGTTAATTTTTTTTTTTTTTGCTCCGAAAAAATAAAATGAAACAGGACATACAGAAAATATACAGAAAAAAAATAAAAATTTAATTTTTTTAAAAAAGTGATAAAATGTATCAAGTGTAAATACCAGGCACATGCCAGACTATATTATTTTCATTTTTATAAAGACAAAAAAATGCCATGTACCTGAATCCTGTGGCTCTTGCATCTGGGTTTTAATGTGAGCTTCATTTGGAGGCGGCGTCTCAACAGCTGGCTCTTCCGGAGGAGATTCTAGATCAGATGTAGCACTCTTCCTGCATTGTTTTACTGATGGAGAGACAATTAGCTGTTCCTCCACGTTCTTTTTCTTGCGACCTCTTGGCCTCCCTACTGCCACGAGCCTCTGAGGTCTAGATGGTGTAACGTCTGTAGGAGGCGTCTAACAGGAATACCACATGAAAAATAGTTAAGCCACAAATTTCATACAACAGTTAGCAAGCGATAATGCAATAATGATTGTCACACAAACCTTTACTCGACTGGACTCTTTGGCATTCTGATGACTATGTTGTGTGCAACTATTCTTAGCTCTTTTTGGAGATGGGGTTGGAAGTCTGAGGTCGGTGTGGAGCTGAAGAGATGCCTGGTCCGGGGCCTGCCCCGTTTCGGGGTGCGTGGTATAAAGCTACAATCACCGTTAGTGTGGCAGGAGGAGATCTCCTTGTCATGAACAGGAGATGTAGTACATGTGTGAAGCCTGCAGAAACATCAGAGGGGGTCTGATTGTTTTGAGTTTTTTTAGAGTGCCGATAACATGTCCCTTTTGTTTTTTGAGAGCGTAAGTGTTGTTCTGGGCAATAATTGTGTTCAGAATGGTCCAGTCCGTTGGAACAAGCTTTGCTAGCAGCTACTTCTTTCTCACTGGGTTGAATTACTTTCTTTTTTCTTCCCTTACGAGACATTTTTGATGTCTCTGATCGACATTTGGGGGTGGTAATTTTTTTAGGCACCATCGGCTCAAGTTCATGGGACTTTGAAGACACCAGTCCATTTAGTTGATGTGCTGATTTCTGTAAACAAGCTGACAAGTCAGGAAGAGCATTTTGGTTTGTTGCTTGAGGTTTCTCCTTCTTGGTTGTTTTCCGTCCATGTGATTCTGCAGAATTCAGCTATTCTAAGCGTGTCTAAACTGTGGTTCCTTTACTATGCAAGATGGAAGCTTTGTCACCTGAAACAGGTTTGTTAAGTTCTGAAGGAACTTCCAAAATGGTGCGACGGGTCCTGTGCGGATTTCTTCGACGGTGAGAAAAGCTCATTCCTGCAACCATAGAGGTCTCAAAACATTGGCACAACCAAGTTTGGTCTCATTATGCTGAGCTGCATAGAAACCCACAGTGAGGTCTATTACTTAATTGTAACTTGTAACCATATGCAACTTGCCATACGTTTTACAAGGGTACAAATTCACACAGCAACCAAGAGCCTGACAATAAAGCTGATCAACTAAGAGCATTTACTGTAAAGATATAAAACGCATGACGTTAAATGCATTAGACTATATCATATATATCAAATAAACTATAAGAAGGTTCCAGCAACTGCATCACAGATTATACTAAACTTAACAGTGAACATACAGAGAAATTCAGTTTATAAAGCCGCTGATAGTTTCTGTAAATACTTGGGTTTGCTGAGATACTGGAACTGGCATAACCCAAGTGCTTTAACTTAGCTAAAAACATTCGCAAAAATCAACCTTATAAGATCCGTATGATGACGGATACAACGATATATACGCTCAAAATGCAACACAAAGTAAGTATATACACGGTCAGGCAGCGTGTCTTATAGTAACTTACCCTGAATCTGCAGAAGAAGGTTTAGTTGCTGCTGTTTTTTAAAAAGTGTAAAACGAAATAATTTTTAAAATAAAATGTGTCGCTCATGTGAAATATTAGTATCTTAGCTCCTACTCACTGGATTTTCGTCTGTTTACGAAGCGTTCGGGCGTTATCAGTTGAACCGCGTTTCTTCTTCTTCTTCTTCTTTTTTGGTGTTTATTGGCGGTTGGCAACCTAATTGACTGGTGCATTACCGCCACCGACTGGAATAAAGTATGGATCAGGATTTTGCTTGTAGGACAAAATAAACCACAAAAACAAATAAAAACAAATAAATAAACTAGAAATTAAAACAAAACAAATAAATAAATAAAAACAATCAAAAAGACTATATTCTTTTATATGAGTCGATTTAACCAAATTATGATGACAAAAAGTCCCAGTGACATGATTATTTTAATCCCCTATCTTGGTGGGTTTTGGGTTTTCTTCTTCTTCTTCTTCTTTAGATTGGTGGCTGACAACCAATTTTAAAGGTGCATTATCGCCACATACCAGACTGGAGTGTGGAGCAGTATATGACAGTATATGACAAACAAGGGAACTAATTATATTCTTTCCAATAAATTTATTGATTCCAATAAAATCAGGATTATCATAATAAAAAACAATTCAGTTAATTATTTTGTCTCTGTATCAGTTTTTTAATTATCCTTCCACAACTGTGAACACAACATATTCGACCAACTCAGTACAAAGATTCAACACACATGCATCACTTTCTGAAACTCACCTGCAGTCGCTGACTCTCAGTTAGAGATGCACTTTTTCCTCTGGCTCTCTAGAAGACTCCCCAGCTCTTCTTGCAGTTTGGTCTGGCTCTCTAAGCTCATCTTGAGTGCAGATTTCAAGACCTCTTGCTCTTTTTCCTTCATCACTTTGGCTCCCTCCATCTTCTCAATTAAGGCCTGTTGTGCTGCTCTGCATTGTGTAACGCCAGCCAAGGGGGGCCAGGTGGCCCAAACCACAATGACGATCAGAGAGACCATGGACCACAGTGCCAGGTGAGCCATAATCCAGTTACAGGTGTTCTGGGCTGAACTGGACCTGGCCATCCTGAGAAAGACACAAACTAAAGCGACCTTCTGCTGTCTGGTCTGACAGGGAGGGAAGTTTATCTGGATCAGTGTTGAACCAGCTACTGAGGCTGGGCTGTGTGCTGTGTCTCTGGTTGTGAGTGGTAGCTACGTCAGCATATCTGCAATGTTATTTTAGGGACCTTATCAGTGCTCTGAGAAATAATTATACATTACTGTTTTAGAAAACATCCAGTTTTTCCCTGGATACATTTCTTTCATGTCCTCATGGCTCTAAACGAGTGTGATAATTAATCCATGATGCAGTAATGAGATGAGTATGGTGGGATTAAGACTTTTTAAAATACAAAATTAACAGTTATCATTCAATATTTTTTGGACCCCATTGAGTTTCATTGTATGGACAAAAACAGTTGAAACATTATTTAAAATATAAAGCAAGTCATACATTTTTAAATTACATGATGGCAAAAAATATTAACATTTTCATTTTAAAATTATACAAATATTAATTATTCCTTTGATGACAGCATACATTAAAAAAAAAACTAAAAACCGGAAGGTTCACGTCACCAGAGCCAAACAGAGACATGCACTGTTGATTTATGTCAACATATGTCATGGGAAGCTAACAGTTCTCAGAATATTCATAGATGTCCTGTGGTTTGAAATTTCAAAGTAAATAGTTGCATTTACAAGACCCCAAAAATCCAAATGTTTATCTGAGTAGCAAAACACGATTATGTTACTATGGAGATGGAAAAATATTTTGTTTAATTAAAACTCTGGGACTTTTAACATCTCTAGACATGTTGAAAACATTTTATAAAGATGTTGACAAATGCTCAGAGCTATAAAACACTATAATTCACCTACCAGTGCGTTCCTTAGCCTACACACACCAAATAAAGACACTGTAACTCTATTCTTCTTCAATTCTTTTATTTGAATGGACTTTTCTGATTCATGTATAAACTTGTCGTAAATAAAACATAACAACAGGTACAGTACTGTAAGCAAACAGATATGAATATTGCTATGACTTTACAAATGAGCACAACCATTTCCAGATACTGATGCTCACTCACATATGGAATGTCATACAAAAAAAAATGAAATGTTTGGAGTGCGTGTTTTGAACAAAAGAAAAGTGTTTAAGCAATAGTTCACCCAAAAAATACAAATTCTATCATAATTTACTCACCCTCATGTTGTTCCAAACCTCAGAACTTTCTTTTTCTGTGGAACACAAATGTTTCAATATACTATGGCAAAGAAAAAAAAAAGATTTTTAAAATATCTTCTTTTGCTTTCCACAAAAGAAAGTAAGTCACATGGATTTGGAATGTTATGAGAATGAGTAAACGCCAAACTTTCGTTTTTAGGTGAACTATCCCTTTAAATTCTCATATTCATACATACAGAAGCAGCTTACTGAATATTCAATATTTGTACAGATCATTCAAGACAGCATTTAAGACTATCATAAGTGTAGAAGTCGTTTCCTTTGTCTCATATCATAAAATTAAAATTCGATTTGCATAGGAAAAGCGGACATGCAGAGCAACAAAAGCGACTGGCATCTTGAGATTCTTCAATTCCTCATAGAGGATTGTGTAGTGCATTACTCACAATGTACATTAATATGCTTTGCTCTGAGTGCTGTAATAGAGTTGTAAATAAACTCGTTTTTTATCTACTGATCCAGCATGTATATTTTTGAGGTGACGATTAAAAATACTAAATGCTTGCTTCAGCTGTAACAGACCGGCATCACATAAGGATACTGCAATGCACAGGCGAAACACATGCACACCCTCACTCAGTATTTATAGAAAATACCATTTTGCATTGCTTTTGTTCTAGGAGTAACATGAACTCTACATGCTTACATGAAGCTTATTGCAAAGTTTAATACTCTATCAAGCGAAGATATTAGATAGTCACTGCGTTCAAAAAGGAAACAGAGCAGCTCAAGCCATGCTGGTGCTGCGAGTGTCATTTTCAGCTGAAATCGAGCGCACCAGCTCTTCAACCCAGTGCACCTCGGAGACCATCTGCTCAGCGAGCACTTCATAGCGGTTCTCCAACCGGCCAAACTTGCGTTTGAGGACATTGGCCGACAGCATGGTGGCGCGGGCCTCTTCCTGGCTCTGTCTGCGCAGGGCTTGTGCTCTCTGCAGCTCCTGTTTGATCTGATTGAGATCTGCAGCGATGCTTTCGTTCTCCTCTTTGTACCAGCTTTCTTTCTCCTCATAGATGGAGAGCAGAGCGGCCACGTCCTCAGCGCAGGAGCGCTGGTTCTTCTCCAGCTCTCGCAGGCCATCCTCGGCCACTGCGATCTCCTCCATGACCTGCGAGAAGCGCTCGAAGTTGATGTAGGTGTTGTTGGGAGGCATGCTGGAGTGGGATTTGATGGTGTACTCCTTCAGTCGGGTGGTCTTCAGACGCCTGCGATCTGTCTTGCGCTCGCTCTCCTCAGGTCGAACGTTACGCCTCTTGATCACCTGTATGGGGGGATGGGATGGGAACTAGTCAAGCACTGCTCAAACAGTGACAAAACTCAAGAGGGAGAAAAAGAGAAGCATTCGAACCTTGATCCAGGGGTGCTGGAGACTGTCCTCGATTGTCATTCTCTTCCTGAATGTTAAAAGCAAATATTAAATTAAATATTAATAAACAGGAATGAAATTTGCTTCATATTAAACAAATGAGGCTTATATCAGTGTTATTTACGTACTATAGTAGTATTTACTAATATTTTGAATTCGTTTTTATTTTTATATTTTCGGTTTTAATTTTAGTAATTTTGTTATGCACACTTTTTAAAATGTGACCCTGGACCACAAAACCAAGTCTCAAGTCGCTAGTGTATATTTGTAGCAATAGCCAGAAAAACATTGTCAAAATTATTGATTTTTCTTTTATGCCAAAAATCATTAGGATATTAAGTAAGGATCATGTTCCATGAAGATATTTTGTAAATTTCCTACCGTAAATATATCAAAACTTAATTTTTGATTAGTAATATGCATTGCTAAGAACTTCATTTGGACAACTTTAAAGGCAATTTTCTCAATATTTAGATTTTTTTGCACCTTCAGATTCCAGATTTTCAAATAGTTGTATCTCGGCCAAATATTGTCCTATCCTAATAAACCATACATCAATGGAAAGCTTATTTATTCAGCTTTCAGATGATGATTTAAAAAAATTGACCCTTATGACTGGTTTTGTGGTCCAGGGTCACAAATCTAATCCTTACACTTTATTTTATATTAATTTTATTACATCATTTTTAATAGCTTTAGTTACAACACTGGATTTGACTAACTTTGGATCCTTGACCAGCAGTCGGCGAATGAAGTCCTTGGCGAGCTCACTTGTGTTGCTGAAGTACTCCTCATCAAAGTCATAGTTGACAGCTGAAATGTTGGTAAGTGTTTCTTGTTTGGTCTCGCCAAGAAACGGAGAAGCACCACTCAAGCTACAGACAATTAATAATGCATTAATATTAGTCAAGCAAAGTAAAACAGCATCATCTGGGTGTGGAAAATGCATGCAATCAATACAGCCAAACAAGTCATTTATGTGACATTACAACTTACAGTATATATGTGATAACTCCGATGCTCCTGCAGGAAAGACAATCACAAGAGAATTAATTATGAGCAAAAATAAACAACTGATAAACTGAGTATCATTTATTAACAATCTAACCAATATTTTAAAAATATCATTGATAGCTAAGACTCACCACATATCTGCCTCCAGGCCAAGAGGCTCATAATTCACAATTTCCGGTGCTACAAAGGTTAAAAGTTATGACAAAGATTAAGGACACCCAATTAAGTTATCATAAATAAGGATAAAAATTATTAAGTTTTATAATAATCTCAGGTTCTCACCAACAAACTCAGGGGTTCCAAAGATGTTTTTAAATTCATTTCCATCTTTAATCTGATGAGCAATTCCAAAATCTATCAGCTTGATTCTGGGGTTCGGCACATTTTTGTCCAGCAGCATTATGTTCTCAGGCTGAAAACAAAGTGATTCAAGATGTTTGTAGTACATGTTTCCATGCTCCCCCAAAAACAACTTGAGAAATGCATCTACATGAATAAATAGCAAACCTATTTCACACAAAACTAAAAAAAACTAAAAATGTACACACCCTCAAGCCATCCAAGATGTAGAGGAGTTTGTTTCCTCATCGGAACAGATTTGGAGAAATTTAGCATTACATCGCTTACTCACTAATGGATCCTCTGAGGTGAATGAAGCTTTTTCACTGAAGGAAGCATTATTATGGATTATGTATATTAGCCGGAAGCAAAGGTTTGAAGTTAAAAATACCTTATTGATGGATTTATTACAAACATGTAGCTTTTCACTTCCCAAGATATTAACTGATGGACTGTGGATTACTTGTGGAGCTGTCTGAACTCTAATTATGACTGCACCCATTCACTGTAGAGGATCCACTGGTGAGCAAGTGAAATTTCTCCAAATCTGTTTCGATGACATAACTACACATTGGATGGCATTTTTGGGTGAACTATTCTTTTAAAACAAATCATCCTAGTGCTCACCTTCAAGTCAAAGTGTGCTATGCGTTTCGAGTGGAGGTAGTGAACTCCGTCCAGGATCTGCTTGAGGAACTGTGTGGCCTCCTCCTCAGTCAGTGACTCCTTCTCAGCCAGGAAGTCAAACAGCTCCCCTCCAGACACCAGCTCCAGAATCAGGATCACGTCGGTTTTGTTCTCAAAGATGTCATGGAGGGTGATGATGTTGCTGTGCTGGATCTCTCGAAGGATGTTCACCTCTCGCTCGATCTCCTCTCGGCTCACACCTCGTCGGCTGGATGACAGCCGTCTCTTCTTGATAAACTTGGCGGCATATTCTGTTCCGGTGCTCTTTTCTTTACATTTACGCACAATAGCAAACTGCCCACTGGGAAACAGGGTACAATGATACACAGAGAAAACAGAAATGAAAAAGAAGAAATCATGTCATTGCATATAGAAAATAAGGATATGGAATAGGCACAAAAAACACTACATATATGAACAGAAGAACATACTGTACGTTCCACAAAACCAAGCTCTAGTAACATTCTAAAGGAGTTCGAGAGTACTCGTTTAGGTAAATGGTATAAATGCTGCATAATGCAACCAAGGAAACTCTTAAAAAATCAGATAAAATGTGTGGTTGACATATTCCCCTGATGGCTCCTCTCTGGCCCATCTTTTCAGTAGTCTCATTTGCACTACAGCTGTTCTCAGGCTCAGAGAGCGAGCATATGCATTGTAAAGCAGTGATGTCATGCTGCAGCAGCACAGCACAGAAATCTCCACGTCCATATATAGAAAAAAGGCCAGGCTTGTGTTTGCAGATGATTAAGTCACTGTGCTGGGGATTTTTAAATTGTAGGGCTCTCATAATGTTTGTTGTTACACCGCACTGATAAGCACAGACACTACATTCCCTTGGCAACTCTAGGCCAAACACTATGATGTATTCACTTGCCTTTTAGAGCTTTCATAACTACATAATTATAGTGCTTAATCAAACATTAAAAAGATAGTAGGCTAATTCAAATCTTAATCTTTGTTTTATTCACTATATGTGAGATCACTTTAAATCAGGTTAAATGAGTTTTTACAGAGTTTTAAGGAGGGAAATGACATCTCTTACCTTCCTAACTCCTCTCCCATTTCATAGTATAGCTCCACATCCTCCTGCCTGAAGCCAGCCATGATTTGCTGACTTCAAATGAATCAATCTGTTAGAAAATGACCAGAAATAAGGCCTATAGTTTAGTTTCACGGTTTTGACCTTGTCTTCAGTCCACTAAAGATTTTGACACTTTGTTGACAATGACTATAAATGGTTTCTAGAGTGCACATGTTTTGGTATTTACTCTTGACCTCACAGGAAGTTGGATTTTAAACTGACATGGGAATGAGAAGTTCCATGTGCAGAATGTGGGCATTCTATTCCTACTTACGTCATTACCTGCAGTCATTAACCAGGGTTGCCAGATTTTTTTGTAACCTTCTTTTGTTTCTGTATTACAGACGTTTAACAGCTATCTTACCACTGCAGTGCAGTACAAACTTACACTAAAAAAATGCATCTCAAAAGCTATGCTTTAAGTCATGTTTCGAACCTTAATGAGTAAAGATAACTACAATAACAAGCATTTATTTTAGCTCAGAGGTACTGTTTCACAGCCAAAAATACGCTGAAATATGGCCAATAGATTCGTAAGAGAAATACGAAATAATCATATTACGATAATCCACAAAATATCTACCAAAGCACTGACTATTTCCAGGTAGCCATCTGGCTAACTTGTAAAAGAAATGGCCAACGAACACCGGCAAGCTAGTTACATGTTACACACAAAACACATTATGGAATAAATATATAAGATTTTCTCTTATGTGCTATTAATGATGTTATCTATAACAACGCTATCTATGATAAGTAAACGCTGAGAGTTTGTTACATACCTTAACGTCGCCGCATTCCTCAGCCAATGGGTATTTTCCGGTTGCTGCGTTCTGGAGAGGCGTGGCTTTTTCAGTGACATCATCGAGACGCCACCGCAGGATGATGTCAACTTGCGTGTACCTGTTATTAAGCGTCTGCCAGGTGTTAGCATTGATCTAAGTTAAAAACTACTTGTATGGGCTTGTTTTGCACTGTTCCTTTGTCAGTGTTACCACAACAGACTCATAACACATATAAAAAGGTGTTAATGAATGAAAGAATGAGTTTGCCTGGAAAATCTAATAATAAAGAAACAAAAATAAATAAAGAAATACTTTTTGTTGTCAATCAGTGTTACACAAGAGAGACATCCATAGTGCTAGGGAGTAGGGACCGATTTTAACCTCATTGCCAGTGTCAAATAATCCTCATTATTTACTGAGCACGTGTATTAAATGAAGTTCAGCTATGCCTCACGTACATAATCTGTTACTGCATGTTGATGTCAGGCGAACAGAAGACGTTCTGTGCATACATATTATTGTGATATGTGAGTCTGTAATTGTGTCATTTATTCCAGACGTAATCATATAAAGCATTTTCAGCTCACATTTCAGATGTTTATCATACTGCGTTAAGAAAAAATAGCTGCAACATCTCATTAGTTTGTTGAAAAACCACAAAAGTCGTTTTGATCTCATGGAAAATGTATTCAGCAAAGTTAGGCAAGTTCTGCACACTGAAGACACGTTAAATCTGCAGTTAGGCTAAAACACACTCAAAATACATTAACCATAATTTATCTCTGTCATTAACTGTATGTATGCAGGATTTGTGAGCATTTATATAGATCAGCATTAAGGTAGCTATTTCTTTGTGCCTATTCACGACTAGATGTTTACTAGAAATGGTCTTAAAGGGATAGTTCACCCAAAAATGAAAATTCTCTGATCATTTACTCACCCTCAAGTTGTTCCAACCCTGTATGAGTTAATTTCTTCTGTTGAACTCAAAATATTTTGAAGAATGTTGGTAACCAAACAGTTGACAGTAGCCATTGACTTCCATAGTATTATTCTTTTCTACTATGGAAGTAAATGGCTAGCTAGTGCCAACTGTATTCTTACAAACATTCTTCAAAATATCGTCTTTTGTTTTCAAAAGAAGAAATACCTGTACCTATTTGGGACAATGCATTTGGTCTGACAAAATGACAAATCAGAATATCCAAATATATAAATATAATATATCTAAACACATTTAATTCTAATACAAACTGAGGGCTCCTGACTTTTGGCAACCTTTGAAAAGTGGAAAACAGACAGTCAATAATATGTGGCCAGTGTCACCTTTAAAACCATCTTCTGTCATGTGACAATGTGCTTATGTTCAGATAATGTCTGTCAGTGGAAAAAGATGATGATCATATTCTATACAATCACATGATTCTTTTGTAATAATTGTAATTTATTTATTAATTTCTTCTCTTCAAAATAACATTAGAAGAAACTTTGAATTATAACAATACAATAAAATATGATAATGTAAGCATGTAGATTATTAAAAGAAAAGAAAACAACAAAAACATAGAACAAAAACAAAGGACAAGATGCAATGAAGTAGTTAGAAAAAAATCATTTATATTTACATTTACATTTAGTCATGTAGCAGACACTTTTATCCAAAGCGATTTACAAATGAGGACAATGGAAGCAATCAAAATCAACAAATGAGCAAAAATATGCAAGTGCTATGAAAAGTCTCAGTTAGCCGAATGCAGTACACATAGGAAGGTTTTTTTTAATTATATAATAAATAAAAAGAAAACAAATAGAATAGAAAAGAATAGAGAAAGCTAGTGTTAGAGGCCTTTTTTAAAGAAAACAAAGCAGTTAGAAAACAAATAGTTTTTTGTTAATTATATAATAAATAAAAAGTAAACAAATAGACAGAATAGAAAATGAATAGAGAAAGCTAGTGTTAGAGGCTTTTTTTTTTAATAAAACAAGCAGTTAGAAAACAAATAGAGTGCAAGTCTTAAAGGGTAAAGTGTTTTTTTTTTATAAAAAAAGAAAACAAATAGATCAAATTGAATTAGAATAGAGAGTGCTACAGTTAGAGGGTCAAATAAAGATGGAAGAAATGTGTTTTCAGACATTTCTTGAAGATAGCAGCTGCTCGGATTGAGTTGGGCAGGTCATTTCACCAGGAGGGAACAGTTAATGTAAAAGTCTGTGAAAGTGATCCCTCTTTGGGATGGCACAATAATGCACCGTTCACTTGCAGAATGCAAGCTTCTAGAGGGCACATAAGTCTGAAGTAGTGAATTTAGGTAAAGGGGTGCAGAGCCAGTGGTGGTTTTGTAGGCAAACATTAGTGCCTTGAATTTTATGCGAGCAGATAGCCAGTAAAGCAAATCTGCAGGACCGGGCAGTTTCAGCAATGTGGTCTGAGAAAGTCAGCTGATCATCAATCACAACTTCAAGGTTTCTGGCTGTTTTTGAAGGAGTTATGGTTGATGTGTCTAACTGGATGGTGAAATTGTGATGAAGTGATGGGTTTGCTGGAACCACAAGCAGTTCTGTCTTGGCAAGGTTGAGTTGAAGGTGATGGTCCTTCATCCAGCAAGAAATAACTGTTAAACAAGAGATGTGAGCAGCTATCGTCGGATCATCAGGATGGAATGAGAGGTAGAGTTGAGTGTCATCAGTGATATGAAAAGCCATGTTTCTGAATGACAAAACTTAGTGATGCCATGTAGACAGAGAAGAGAAGTGGTCCAAGAACTGAGCCCTGAGGCACCCCAGTAGTTAGATGTTGCGACTCGGACACCTCACCTCTCCAAGATACCTTGAAGGACCTATCTGAGAGGTAAGACTCAAACAACTGGAGTGTGGTTCCTGAGATGCCCTTTGCCAATAGGGTTGACAGGAGGATCTGGTGGTTAACCGTGTCAAAAGCAGTGGACAGATCTAGCAAGACAAGTATTTAAGATTTGGAAGCCGCTCTTACCAGTCTTAGTGCTTTAACAACTGAGAGCAAGGCAGTCTCGGTTGAATGTCCACTTCTGAAAACAGACTGGTTGCTGTCCAGGAGGGGTTGTTCTGTGTGAGAAAGCCAGAGACTGAAAAAATCAATAATCAAAGGAAAAAACAACAAAGGACTTAAATTATTTAGGCCTAAGGGTTTTGCAAAACTGGCCGTAAAATATGATGTCACTAAGAAATGACAAATTTGGATGTTAAGAAGTGGAGGCGTGGCTAAAATATAATTGATTAGAGCGAAAGCCAATAGGCCAAGAGTGGACGTTCGGAAGCGGACGAAGTTAGCCAATCGGCAACGTACTGCAGAACGTGGGCGGGATAAGCGTAAACAGCTGATAGTTGAGTCGGAGGAGGGCAGTGCGGATGGGGGAGACGACAACTATCAGGCATCATGCGATTTTTGTCAAGTCTCCTTTGGGCAGCTCTTTTGATCGAACAGGTAAGACGTAAGAAAACACTAAAGAATCCGTATTATTTTTGGTGGGCTCCTCAACTGGTCTGTAAAGTTACCAAGTTTGTTTTATTTTTTATTTTTTGCCGATGATTACTAGCTACATGCTATGTACGATTAGCTTGCGGTGGACTTCTGTGCTCGTGGCTCGTGAATGTTTGGGGGCCTCGCGCTCCTGTTGACATGACACTGTTACAGCAAAACAAATACAAAACACGGATCAAACGAGCGACAAACTGTCATTTTTGCTAGATCACCATTAATGACAAACCTTTATTTTCAGTTGATTATTTATTTTGCAAGCAGTGATACCGTACACAGATAATGTCAGTAATTTTAACGGAAGAATAATGTAAACAAGTAAAAACCCTTTCGTTTGCGTTACTTTAATATATACCTTACCAAATTATATTTATATTTAGTAAGAAGTATGAATTTCCTGAAAAATAATAAGGCAATACGTATACATTTTTCAAATTACTGCCTTTTTTCGGGAACAATATTTGTTTAGATAATGTAATGTATTATTTTCACATTGGAGTATTATATTGCATTTTATGTTGTTTGGTTCATGTTTATTTAATTATTCTAATGTCATATATTAACATGATGATGTGTTTGTGTGGGTGACAGTGAGCTGTTATTATGAGATATATTTACATGCTATAAGAACATGTAATGGCACACACACATACACACACATACTTGCATTTGTGGTTTACGGGGACTCTCCATAGGTGTAATGGTTTTTATACTGTACAAACTGTTATTTATATCGCCCTACACCAACCCTACACCTAAACCTACCCCTTACAGAAAACTACTGGCAATTTTTGAATGTCATAAAACACCGTTTTGTATGTTTTTTAAGCCTTTTATTTTACAGGGACACAGGAAGTGGCCTCATAAACCATGTTTACGTTGTAGTAACCATGTCATTATACACATTTGTGTCCTCATAAACCATATATACCAGTACACACACACACACACATTAAACCCTACTTAAATTATTAAATTATTCATTTAATAAATAGTGTAATATAATAAATCTCAGTGACACTAAAACAAAAAACAACACAATTTCTGATGTGGTCCTGCAAGTTTAAATGAAACTAAAACGATTTAACTAAAAACAGGTAGCAAATGAAAGTCAAACATTTGCATAGATTAGAAAACATAATTCACATTTTTTTTCTATGAGGTTTTATAAGTTTTAGAAAACTTTATGCAAGTTCATGTCACCTATTTTCTACAGACATATATGCATTTCTCTCCCTTTTCCAAGGTTTCCCTCTTTGCACAGCAATCTTATGCACAAACCTGTTAACCAATAACCTAAGCTGTATCCGTTCTGATTCACAGGTTTTAGGTGAATATGGCATGGCACATTTCAGCGATGGGGGGAACAGTAAAGGCAAAGATTACTGCATATTCTTCAACTCTCAGTGGGCTCGACTACCTCAGGACCTCAGTAAAGCAGTTAGTAGCAATTTATACACACACACAAATAGAAATCCCCAGATCTCTTACTGTTGGATTTCAAATCAATTGCAGCATTTCCAACAAACCCCTGCTGTATCTGAAACTGCAGTTACAATTTACTATCACAGAGCTGCCACTCATTCAACCTTTATTGTTTTCCTCAGGCACGGCTGCAGACTTACGATCTCACCACCTCTGTGCTGTGCTCCCCCTCTGATGTACCTGAGGGTGGCTTCCCAAACAGCATCCCAATGGTGATGAGAGGAAATTGCACTTTCTATGAAAAAGTCAGATTGGCCCAGATCAATGGTGCCAAGGGACTTCTGATCGTCAGCAAAGACAGACTGGTAACACATCATAACACCATAAATGGCGCCATGAACATTCGTCAAAACATAGTTAACTTGTTTGAAATGATTTACAGACTCCACCCTCAGGCAACAAGTCCCAGTATGAAGAGATAGGCATCCCAGTGGCCTTGCTAAGCTATAAAGACATGTTGGACATCAGTAAGGTAAGTTCAGAATCACTTTAACACATATTATATTGTAATTACAAAGGCAACAACAAAAAAATAATTCTGTCTTTAGACGTTTGGAGAGAAAAGGCAGGTGGCCATGTATGCGCCCAATGAACCGGTGGTGGACTACAACATGGTGCTCATCTTCCTGATGGCGGTGGGCACAGTGGCTGTCGGTGGATATTGGGCTGGCAGCAGGGACATTAAAAAGTAAGAATTGTGCCCATGAGGCACAGGTTACAAGATAAATTGGTGATAAAGCTGACAGCCTGCAGAATTTATTCAGCTAAACTCACATCTTTGTGCTTTTAGACGTTACATGAAGCACAAGAGGGACGACGGTGCCGAGAAACAATACGAGGAGACGGTTGACGTCACCCCCATCATGATTTGTGTGTTTGTGGTCATGTGTTGCTCTATGCTGGTGCTCTTGTATTTCTTCTATGATCAATTGGGTAAATAAACGAATCAGTTATTACCGTCTTTCAGTAAACTGTCTGTATTTTGTTTAATCCTCACCCTTTCTTTCACAGTGTATATGACTATCGCAACGTTCTGTCTGGCATCTGCCGTCGGTCTGTACAGCTGTCTTTGGCCTTTTGTCCGAAGAATACCGTTTGGGAAATGCAGGTTAGAGATGTGCATGAGAAAGACTAGATAGGATTCTTTCTGGCTTTTTATTGAAGGAAATGCTTTGTTGTGTTTTGACAGGATACCTGAGAACAACCTGCCATACTGTCACAAGCGGCCACAGGTGCGCATGCTGATCCTTTCAGCCTTCTGTATAGCAGTCAGTGTCACCTGGGGAGTTTTCCGCAATGAAGACCAGTAAGAATAGAACACTTTAGGTTTTGACACTTTTAGCATTATTACAGTATATCTAATCAAAAACCATGTTCCCTAGGTGGGCATGGATACTTCAGGATGCGCTAGGCATCGCGTTCTGTCTCTACATGCTGAAAACAATCCGGCTGCCCACTTTCAAGGTGAGTTTCAAACGCAGGTGGATGCTGCCGGTGGCCAGAATAACATATTTAGGATGTGGAGATGATCCATTTCTTCTTGTTGTAGGCCTGCACTCTGCTGTTGGTCGTGCTGTTCGTGTATGACGTGTTTTTTGTTTTCATAACACCACTCTTAACTGAGGTATGAGGTTTTTTTTTTTACTGAAACTGATGTAAAATAGAATTTTATATTATTTGGTGTATATTTTTGTATGTTATTCTGTGCAGAGTGGGGAAAGTATCATGGTAGAGGTGGCGGCTGGCCCCTCTGATTCCTCTACTCATGAGAAGGTAGGAAGGTGTTTTTTGAATATGCATAAATTTAAATACTTATTTGTAATATTTTTTTGGTGTCAAATTTGCTGTCTTTGTCTCAATTAGCTTCCCATGGTGCTGAAAGTGCCCAGGTTGAATTTTTCTCCTTTGGTCCTGTGTGACCGGCCATTCTCTCTCCTGGGTTTTGGGGATATCTTGGTACCAGGTAACGTCACTTTGTCACTATCAGCTGCACGATGAACAGATTGCCAGGATTCATGGAAAGAACTTAGTGATGCACCAAAATAAATGTTTCTACCAAAATCGAAATGCCGAAAATGAAGTTTGGGTAATTGAACGTGGCAAGCTTTCCAACAGCTATTTTGGCTGTTAATTAATTTTTATACATCTTTGAAAGGAAATTAAAATAGTATGCAAACTTAGTTGTCTGGCTCTGGTTTTATCAAACTTGATAAAAAAAGATTGTATTAATGATATAAACAAAAAATCTTGTATTTAATTTCTTGGAATTCAAGCTTCACTGTCCTGTTTTTTTTTTCTTCCTTTCTTTTAGTCATCTTGTACTTCATTTTAATAATGACATTTTGTTTCCTCAGGTCTGCTGGTAGCATATTGTCACAGATTTGACATTCTCATGCAGACTTCTCGAATTTACTTTCTGGCCTGCACTATTGGTAAGACACTGACTACCTTTTAAATTCAGATATGTTGTATGTTTCTAGCTTTTATTATCTTTTAAGCATGCACGATACATTGTGCCTCTCATGTAAAGACTGTGAATCTGATCTGTTTTTTAGGCTACGGCATTGGTCTTCTCATCACATTTGTGGCTCTGGCGCTGATGCAGATGGGTCAGCCTGCCCTCTTATACCTGGTGCCTTGCACGCTCCTCACCAGCCTTGCGGTGGCACTGTGGCGCAAGGAGCTGCCTTTGTTCTGGACAGGAAGTGGATTTGTGGTGAATACCAGTTTGATATGAGTGCCTTCCGCAGTCGGAAAAGTTCTAGGGTTATATACAGTTACTAGACTTACAGTTGAGTAAATTCACCCACGTGTTTTTGTGCCGCTCTTATTTTACTCTCATTTTTATTGTGGGTGTTTTCTTCTCTTTAAAGGAGGGGTTCGGTGTCAACCTTAGGAATAAAACGGTCGTTTCCAATATGTATAACTGTTCTTAACACAGAATCTACATCCTTTGATTTCACAGGCATTTGTTTAAAATGTTTAGAAACTTTTACAACAATAGATCCCAGAGATCCTGAACAGAAATTCTACCTCCTGTAGTAAAGAGGGATTTTGACTGTTTGACTGAGCTTATAACATCCAAATATTTTTCTCTAAACCACAGTATGAGCAAATGCTGTTCTACAGACTGATATACACAAGTTAAATCCACCGTTTCACATCACAATAGGTTGATAAACACCAGATCTCTCCTTTAGGTCTGGTAAGAGATCTGTGTGTGCCAGAAGAGGGCTTATGTTTCATTTCCTCGGCTCTTTAGCTAACAGTGTTCAAGCTTTTCATCTAATAATAGGCCTGGAGATTTGTTGGTCTTGAGTTAATCTATGGTGATTTCCTGTATAAGAAGAATCTAGTCTGTGTCATCTTCTCTGATTGTTCGCTTCTTCACTAAGTTCTAGATCAGAAGCCATTTTCTCATTCTCACTTCTGAAGTGATTCTAACATTTTTCTTCTGCTTTAAATTGCAATTGGATTGGTATTGCTGTTTATATTTATATATATATACACACTACCATTCAAAAGGGGTCGGTAAGATTTTTATTAATTTTGGAAGAAGTCACCAAGGCTGCATTCATTTGATTAAAAATACAATTTAAAAGAACCGTTTTCTATTTGAATATATTTTGACAATGTAATATATTCCAGTGATGAATGATTAGCAGCCATGACTCTAGTCTTCAGTGTCACATGATCCTTCAGAAATTATTCTCAAATGCTAATTTGGTACTCAGAAAATATATTATTATCAATCTTGAAAATGTTCAAAAAAATCTCTGCTGAATGTTTTTGTGGAAACCGAGGTAACTTCTTCAGGATTTTTCGATGAATAGAAAGTAGATAAGCATTGATTTTAAACAGAAATCTTTGTAATATTGTAAATTTACAATTTTTGTATGTGTCCTTGCGGAATAAAAGTATTTTTATTCAAATGAATAAAAGTGTTTAAAAAAATCTTACTGAACCCACATTTTTGAATAGTAGTGTATATATAAAAATATCTGGAATTTAATTAAATTTTTTTAAACAATTTTACTTCTCTTTCATCATATGCATCTCATTTCATTCCTCAGCCGTCTCCCATTGTCATGGAACAAATCAACTGTACTCAAACCCCAGGACTGCCCACAGATGAACCCCAGTCCAATCCTGAGCCGGAAGACTCTGAAACGACCAATCAGTGTGAGGACCCTCCTCCACCAGCACAAGAGGAAGTTCCGCATCTTACAGATGCATCTACTACATAAAGACAAGACTCGAAGGATGCTACTTTCTTTTTCATTTTTTGAAGTCAGTTATATATCTGACCATACATGTAATAGACTTGAGCAGTATGAACATCTCAGTGCACCTGTTTTAAGCCTTTGAAATTGTACAGTCCTTTGAATCGAAGGAGGAGACACAACAACATCTGCTGTGCTTCAGCCAACTTGCTTCAAGTTCACGTTTGATGGCATTAGGAGGGCACAGAATGGATCGCTTTTATCTTCTTCACAAGGATCTCAACTCTGTGTTATTTTTGTTCTCCCATTTTGTTTTTTTTGTAAATTAACATTCTCTCAGTAAATGAAACAAAAGTGCAGCTAGACCATTGAAAACAAATGTCAAGAAAATTCTAGACAGCTCACTGAAAATATTTCTATTTGGCTTCCAGTTGATAATGCATTACTGACGGGTTGTGTCCTTGTCGTAACATCCTTTAAAATACGGTGCTAATAAGGGCCGAATGAACCAAAGGCTTTGGGAATAATGATTTATTCCTTTCATCCTGAGTTTTGAGATACAAATGCTGTGGGTTGATAAGATTGTTAATCGTTTATATCACAGTACACTGTATAAATAAGAGCAGTACTGTTATACAACACATATTTAACAAAAACTTCCTTTTTGGTTTGGAATGTGATTTCAGCTTTAGTTGCATTGAAATAGATCATATTCATATGCTCATGGCTTATTGAAAGCATTGTATTTAGACTGTGCTGTTTACTTGATGGAAGGGATGTTTGAGATTTCAAAATAAAAAGTGCAAACATTTTTAAAAGAAGTGCAGTTTTTAAGAACAGTTTCATGCCCAACTATTGAGTGACAGTCCTTCTGTTTCATAGTAGGATTTTTGTATTCATGGTACTTTTTAAAGCTGTTTTTCGGCGTAAAGCACTGATATTATTCTCTCTATGATTTAAGTTTTAAGTTACAGTACATCAGGTTTATTTAAGAAGTTTATGTGGCACTGTTGTCTCATTGAAATCTGTTCGACTTGGCTACAGCGTGTTTTGTTTTTATTGGGCCAATGTGATCATGTGGAATAACATGGACAAGTTGTAATCCAGATATTTTGTCCGTTTATTAATACTCCTGATGTCTGGAGGTCGTGTGTCAGGGATCTTCAGAGTCATGTATGCTGAAGCTCTCGATTAGAGATCAATATATGCTGTAAAAGTGATTTTGAAAAGTTGTTGAAGAGTGCACATATTAAAGGAATAATGCATTATGTTATGTGGACTACTGTTGTGTTTTAGTGCATGATCACTTGAGAAATACTTCGGATGTTTACTGGCAAAAATGTATTGTAAAATAATGTATTGTATCATGAGTTCTTTGCATTTTCCTCCCACATTAAAAGGTAAGCGGTAAAGTAGTATAATTGTGGGTTATATGTTATCAAATTATGAGTCATAGTGGTTGGAAATGATACTTCCTGGATTGTGGTTACACCACCAGAGTGCTTGATTCACTCTTTCATCTGGTTCACTGGACTCACTTCTAACTCCAGGCTATTGTTGAACTGTATGACCAAGCTAAAAACGGACCACATTTTTATATTGTATAAACTATAACAGTTTATACAATAGTGGTAAAACAGCACCACTGCACAGAAGACTCCACCTCCTCCCGGCGACACGCAATTTCAATTCTCTGTGTGTATGTGCTGTACATGTGGAAGAATTGACAATAAAGCAGACTTGAGACTTGAGACTATTGTGTGAAAACTGAACCATACTGAAGTAGTCTGAAGTGGCAGGCAGAGAGATGAACAAAAGAAATTACACTTGTAAAAGAGGTTAAGAGGTCATTGAGCCTTGGGCAAGATAGCTCTTTTTTTTAACAAACAGAGGCTGAATAAACAGCAATTTCAGAAGACGAAAAAATGATTATTCTGATCTATGGTTACTGGATGGATCTTTTGCAATGCCAATAGATCATATGTGTTCTATTCTAATGTTCTACCGTGTTGAAAAAACCCCAGCATATGCTGGTTAGGTATGTTTTGAAGCATGGCTGCTGGTTTAAGCTGGTCCTAGCCGGTCATGAGCTGGACTTTAGCTGGTCATGTGCTGGTTCTAAGCTGGTCCTAAGCAACTAGCTCCTGCTCAGGACCAGCTTAAACCAGCAGCCATGCTTCAAAACATACCTAACCAGCATATGCAGTTTTTTTCAACAAGCTTGTACAACATTATTCAGAAAAAAGCGCCAACTTTAAGTTTTCAAAAGAACTGGGTCTAATACTCATCACTGTGATCTAATGCATCACAGTGGAGTACTGTTATATTTTATTAACAACTGCTTGGATTGGAATGTTTCTGAGCCAAGTAGTTCAACACACGAACGGACGAAATGCTGAAAAGTTTATTGTGTTAAACATATGTCGCTGACTACGGTCGTTAAATTAGGCTCAACGAAGTTTAGTTATATTGGAACTGCATCAGTACTTACCTAAACTACTTTGTCAGAGCAAAGAAATGTTTACAGCAGAAGAGATGATCAGAGAAAATAACCTTTCTGTGGCAATCAACCGTCAATGTAGCTGTCATAGAAGGGTGCAGCTGCAGACAGTGCAACAAAATATATTTTTTTAAAGAACATTTGGGCATTTCTCTATTTTCTATGGCTGCATTTCAAAATACCAGATTTTTTTGAACATTTGAACTTAGTAGTTGATGATAGCGGACTGCTGATTTGTACGTGGAGGTGGTGACGTGGTAATGTTGTAAACTCTTCCATATAGTGACCAAAATACACAATTTAATTCATGTCGCTCATACAGTAGTATATTTTGTATTATTCCCGGACTATCCTGTCTTCCACTGAGCTAATGCAAATGAAACACGTGAGAACCAGTGGAATTTGACGTCAAAGTGAAAAATGGCGGGGTGGACGTCTTATGGACAACATAACATTGAGTAAATTATCACTTTTAGGCAAACTAGCCACCGTTTTTTTGTGAATAATGACAAACAACGTGAAGTAAAACTGAGTATACAGGTTTTATGTTTGTTCATGTAACAGAGCAAATGTCAAGCACTTAAGAGTGCAACAGTACTCGAGAGAACCAAAAAAAGCTGTATTTCTTCTGCACCATTTACAATGTACATTTCTACTTAAGACAGTCTGTATTTTCTCAGATTAAAACAATGTATGAAATAAAAATAATGATCCAACAGAATTGTGCAACATGAATTTAGACAAAAACTTAAAAAAGCAGTACCTTTGACATTTAGTAGTGATGAGAATGTATCCCCAACTCAAGAAAAACAAGGCTATTTTTTTCTAAAACGCTACAAAATTTTTGCTCAAATATAACATCATTTTCCAGTTAACAGAAGCAAAACAATGTAAAAGATCCCACAATCTGTGCAGAAACTGAAGAAAAACTCCAAAAAGACATTTACACATTAAACGTATTCCATACATTAAATAGGTCAACACTTTTTTTGAGAGAAGCTCTTGATTACATGACTCCTATAAAGAGACCAGGAAGAACACTAAGACTTTCCAGAGCAACACTTGTGGGGCTCAAACATCCCTGAATTAAAATCACAATAAATAACTGAAAACAAAAATCGTTAAGACAAAGACCATTCTGTAATGTGGACCTGAACTGGATTTTGTACTGATATACTGTGACTGTCGGATGTTAAGATCACAAAGCCTTTAGGAAACAGACTTAAAGTAAAGAGGCCTAAATCTCAACTAAGTACTTCTGGGAGTGAATCCTCCGAAACGTTTTTTTTTTTTACTATCCCTGTGAATTAATGCTTTTTTTCTTTCCCAATTCAATTTATATCATAGTAAAAACAAAAAAAAAACCACTTCATAATTATGATTAAAATCTGCATGATTCCATTTTTTTTTTTAAATGCACTTACGTCAGTGCAGGTCATGTTAGAGTGATAACAATCACTCTGCAACAATGTTGTACTCTTGCATATTGCACAGGGTTATTAAAAGTAAAATATGTCTTCTGCAGTTGCGTTGTCTTTGGTTTTACAGTCTCCTGGCTGGGTACTGAGTGCGTTATGATTGTGGTTGTGTTTCCTGATGCCGTTTCCTGAATGAGAGGGTATGGAGCTGGATAACTTCTCTGGATGGATAAACATATCTACAGAAACACCACAGAAATGGATTTACTAATACAGAAACCCGTATTAATGGTGAAATGACTAAAACAGCGCTGCTTTGAAGTAATATGAAGATACAGAGTGTACAAAGAAAATAAAAGGCAGAATAAATGATAATTCACCACACCAAAAATAATTTACCACCCCAAAAAATCATACAGGTTTGAATTAAAATGAGGGTGAGCAAATGACTGAATTTAATTTCAAGGCGTACTATCCCTTTAAACAAAGAAAAAGGAACTTTTTAATCAGAAACACAGACCAATCCCATGAGAGAACGAAGCTAAAATTAAGGTGAGACACAGAATCAAGAAGTTTTACCTGGATGGAGCTGGTGGGGACTGTTGGATCTCATGGCTCTTAAACTGCCTCCTTCCTTCCCTGAAACTTTGATGGGAAGTACCTGAGACACCTCTATGCCAGCTAAAAGTGTGAAAAAACTTTCAAGTTAAATTAAATTCACCTAAATCTTACTGATAGCTCTTTACCACTGCCCACAAAACAACATCAGCTCACAGACTAATGTAATGGAGTTAGTAAAACAGTTCATACCTGCACTCTTGGTGCGCTGGTGGGAGTTCCTGGGCTTGCTGTGCTTCTCCTTGCCTTTAGGTTGGGCAGCCAGCTTGGTGGGGATCTTCTGTTGGACGGAGCTGGCTTTGTGGGATTGGTTGGTGGTGCTAACGAGGTGGACGGGCACTACGGGTTTAACAGGAAGGTTGGCCATGCTCTCCCTGCGTGGCGGTACCAGAGGAGGCCTCTCGTCGAAGCCGGGAGTAACCACATTCAATATGGGGTAAGGTGGAGGTAGCTAGAATGAAAGGCAAGTTTATGCATGTACAGATATTCGGTACTTTAATTGTGATT